TAGGGAAAGTATGGCGGTCAAGCTGACAGGTGACCTTAAACCTCATTCTCCATCTCTTCTCCCCACTCAGGGCTCCTCATCTATACACTTAATGTGGCTGCCAGAAATGTGACTTTTTACTCCTGAGGACACTCTTCAGATGGAGCTGTGTCTCCACCAGACTATAAGCTCCCTCTCCCCGAGGAATGGGGGTCCCTTTCACTGTCCAAGTACTTCCAGAGCCCGGAGCAAGGCAGCGAGGCCCAAGAAGTACCGCTCAAGCCCGTCCTGCTCACCCACCTTGTCGTTGTTGACGTATCTGTGACCCTGCACCCAGCCCTCGCCGCCCCAGAGCCCCAGCTGGGACTCCGGGGGATAGTGAACGGGAATGGGCACGTCCTCCACGCGCTCCCGCTGCCCGTTCTTGGGGTTGATCTTGATTTTGACCCCGTGTGGCCTGTAGTGCACGGGAGTGGGCGTCCGCGCCTCCTCCAGGGAACGCAGGTAGTGCTGGGGCAGGCGGGAGTAGATGCCCTCCCGCAGCCGGAGCTGCTTCCACAGGCCGACCGGGACCTTGTGCAGGGGCATCGCGGCGAGCCTGGCAGGAGGCAGGGGCCACCGTCACACGCGCCCGGCCGGACGCGGGCTGCGACCCCCACCCCAGACTCCAGCCCCCGGCGCCCCGCCCTATTCCTACCCTCACGCGCCGCCTCGACCCCTGCCCCATGGCCCCGCGCGGCGCCGAGCCCAGCGGCGTAACCCCAAGCGGCCCGACCCCCCGACTCCCGCCCCCGGCCCCCAGCCCCATCCCGCCCCCCGGCTCCGCCTCCGTCCCCCCCGCGCCTGGCCCCCCGCGCGGCCGCGGCCCCGACCCCAGCCGCGTGACCCCGAGCGGCCCAACCACCGCAATAACCCAACTCCACTATCGGGCCACCACCTACCTAACCGAGTCCGCTCCCCGGCGGAACCGGAAGTTGTGTCAGGGCACCTTGCCCTCCACTCACCGCTGACTGGCTGCAAAGCCGGTCGGTCTACACCCACCTCGTCCCGCCCCCTTTCACGTCTTTAGGGACCGTGGAAAACTCGCTGCGGAAACGGCGGCAGCTGCAGGCACCGTCGGCAAGTGTGGGCCCATTTCCCGGGAGCAGGGACTTGTCATTCTCGGTCCCACCTCCCCTCCTCTCGGAAGAAGCGCAGAAAACAATGTAAAAACTCTTTTGCCTTGAAACATCATGTAGAATATTAAATTCACCAATCACAGTGCAATGAGAACTACAGAAAAATACGTCTTAAATGTCTTGAAAAAATTCCTCCCCAAAATACTGTATATAAATGTTTCCGCTTTACAAGCCTAGAGAAGGCTCCAGTGGCCAAGTGCTGGGTGACTGGGGGTGCGGGAAGCCTCCAGGGAGGCCACAGCCTGGACAGGACTCAGAAGGGAAGACGCCAGGCCAAAAGATGGGAGAGTGTGTGCCCCCCACCCTGGGCTCAGCAGCCCTGTCCAGCACCCTCACACAGACAGCAGCCCCTTAGGGAGGGGCAGGGCAATGCTCCTGGGGCAGTCAGCAGCCCTTACCGTGCTTCCACCACAGAGGAAGGAGAAAGGCAGGGCCAGGCCTCCAGGAGCCCCCTCCCCAAACGTGTGGTTGGGCCAGTGGGGGGCAGCAGCCATCACCTTCTCTCCTGGAAGTAACTCAAGGAGATGCTCCCTAGACAGGGCCCAGGAACCCAGGGGTCAGTGGGACACAAAGATGGGACAAGGTGTGCCCTGCAGGCCCAGCACTCCCAGAGCAGCTTGGCAGCCCCCTCCCCAGGAACCGCATCTCAGAGGCCTGCAGCTCCAAAACTGAGAGCCAAAGGGAGTGAAGGGGGAGGGCTGGACAGCCAGAAGTCAGCCTCCCCCATGCTATCCATAGCAGCTGGCCCTTACGGACACCCCAGTGCCATCAGCTCCCCGGTAAATGTGGTCACTCCTTCCCATGGCAAATGTATTAGCAGGGGGCATCCCCATGCCCGCGGCAGGCTGGCATTCAGGGGCACAAAGTGTCAATGAGCCAGGGATGGCATAGCTCCCAGCCTATGGGGCAGGGGCTCATGGGAGGTGGGCTCAGGTCTCCTCGGCCCACCTGGGTCTCTCATACCACAGCCTCACAGGGGAATAGGGCAATGGGGGACTCTTACACCACATCTCCCTCCAACCATCCCCAGGCCAGAAGAACTCAGAACCTGACCCCACATGGTACCTGTGGTCTCTAGGCAGCCAGGCCCAGGCCCCAGGGGCCACTGCAGATACCAGCTGGGACCTGCAGAGTGACCGAGTCAGCTGGCAGCCAGTGGGCACAAGGGAGTTGGGGGTGTGGTCCTCTCCTCAGGAGGAGAAAGCAAAAGAGTGCTCAGGGCAATTTTATTCAGTTGGAAATGGATCTGGACAGGGTCCCTCTCCCTTGGTCCTGCCCCTGGCTAGAGAGATCATCAAAGCTGCAGATGTCCCCAAGCTGGCTGTGTCATGTCACTGTGTACAGCTCGTCCCGGTGGTTCTTGCAAATCTCATAGTGGCAGGTGAGCTTCTGGGAGCAGGCCCAGGGCTTGGTGTGCTGTTCACGTGGGGGCAGCAAGAAGGCTGCACTCCCTGCCAGCAGCATGTGCCAGATGCTGTGGGTATAGTAATAGTTGTCGCTGGTCATCATGGAAGTGTAGATGGTGATGGCCACAGCGGCCATGGAGATGCCGGGCAGGAGGTAGAAGACCCAGCGCTGCCAGGAGGGGGGGTAGCAGTGGCGCCGGCGCCCGCAGCGGTACACCTGGAGAAAACCACCGCACGAGTGTTAGCACAGGGGCTGCAGCCACAGCTCCCAGGGGCCTGCCCTGGTCTGGGAGTGTGGGCTGCTTGGAGGGGTTCAAGGGCACAAAGATCTATGGGTTCCTCAGGCCCACGCCCTAGGCATGAAGCCACACTGAGCCCCTGTGGGTGCCACTAGCAGCCCTCAGCAGATCTGGAGGACTCAGGCCCAGGACTGAGAACATGGCCAAAATGAGGGACCATGCTCTCTCCTCCCAGAGTGAGCGTGTATGGAGAGCCCATGCTCTTTTACCCCAATTACCAGGAGAGGGAGCCTGGGCAGGACCCTAGGCCTGCCCTAGTTCCTTACCCACATGGTGACCATGACCACAATGGCAAAGAGGCAAGGCCCCATTGTGTTCCAGGCGGCCCTGCGGTCCAGCTGCAAGGACATGGCGAAGACCAGAGCGCCCAGGAGAAACAGAACCTGGGCAAAACGCAAGGACGATGGCAGGGTCACAGGAGCCCTAGGCCTGGTTCGTCTTTAATGGCACATGGTCCAGCAGGAGCAGGTGGTTTGGGCCTGCTGGTCATCCCACTGTCCCTACTGCCCCCCAGCACCTCTGCCAGTCCCCTTGGAGCAACTCACACACCCTGCCCTGCTCTGCTGGCTGGGAGGGAGGCGCCCCTCCTCCAGCTCCTGCATTGCTGGGATCCATCAGTCTCAAGGGTCCATCTACAGGTGGATTTCTAATGTGTTTTTGTTTGTTTGTTTGTTTGTTTTTGCGGTACGCGGGCCTCTCACTGCTGTGGCCTCTCCTGTTGCGGAGCACAGGCTCCGGACGCGCAGGCTCAGTGGCCATGGCTCACGGGCCCAGCTGCTCCATGGCATGTGGGATCTTCCCGGACCGGGGCACGAACCTGCGTCCCCTGCATCGGCAGGCGGACTCTCAACCACTGCGCCACCAGGGAAGCCCTCTAACGTGTTTTGTTTTGGCCGCGCTGCACAGCTTGTGGGATCTTAGTTCCCTGTGGGATCTTCCCGGACCGGGCCACGAACCTGCGTCCCCTGCATCGGCAGGCGGACTCTCAACCACTGCGCCACCAGGGAAGCCCTCTAACGTGTTTTGTTTTGGCCGCGCTGCACAGCTTGTGGGATCTTAGTTCCCTGACCAGGGATTGAACCCACGCCGCCCTCAGCAGTGAAAGCATGGAGTCTTAACCACTGGACTGAGAGGTAATTCCCCACAGGTGAATTTCTGGGGCACAAACTTGGGCAGGCAGGGCACCAGGGCACGCATCTCCATGAGCCAAGCCTGGTTACAGCAGAAAAGTCTCTGAAGTGTCCTCAGCACCAGGGACTCCAGGAGCACAGCTGGGTGCTTCTCAGGGAGGTCTGGTCCAGGGTTGGGGCTCCAGGCCTCCTCTCTGAATGGGGCCCTGGGAGAGAAACAGGCCTCGCCCAACCCTGCCCACCACCTTCCTTTCCTGGCATCCTCCGAGCAGTTGACACAGTCCCTTCACAACTGGAGGCAGCCTCTTCCAGCAGGCGACTGGTCAGTACAAGAGGTTTTGAAGGGCAGCGGCCAAACCCCCTTTCTGGTGTCTCCCTCGACACGCTGTGCACAAGGGCCTCCACCCCCCCAGAGCCCAGACCCCGGGTATCAGGAAATCGCTCACATATTTCAGGGCGGCCTTCAGCCGGGCCATGCAGAGGATGGTGACCCAGATGGACACTCCGGAGCCCAGGAAGTCGCAGTACTGTAGTGTGTCATAGTTGAGGATACACAGCACCGCTTCACCCGGCTGGTCGCAGGCATGGTAGAACTGTGGGGCCGGGCGGTGAGCTGCAGCCCAGGTCCCCCTACCACCCCCAGGGGAGCAAGCAGGCCTACCGTGGAGAAGAACATGGTGTAGGCGTAGACAGAGGCCTCCACCAGGAGGGAGCGGTGCACAGAGATGGCGATGGGGGCCAGGAACACGAGGTTGCTCAGGGTAAGCAAGAGGGCAGCCGCCTTCTGCTGGGCCGCCGTCTGGGCTGTGCTGTTGTCTGTGCAGCTCCACCCACGCCAGCCTGTGGGCCAAGGCAACGCAGAGGGGGCTGAATCCAGGAGAGTCGGGCAGGCTTGGCAGGGGGCGCTTTGGAAACTCAGGGCCCGCCCCTCACCCAGGGCCCTGCAGAGAAGCCCCTTCCTCACCCCTGAGCAGGCCGGGACAGGTGTGGGTAGGTGTGGGGCACATGTGGGTAGGTGGATGGCAGTGTGGGTAGGTGGGGGCAGGTGTGGGCAGGGGAGGCCAAGATCAGAAGGCAGTACCATCTCTGGGGGTGCCTCTCTGTGCTCGCACGGGGGCACGGTAGGGGTGGGAAGGGGGCATCTGTCCTTGCTCTTCAGGGGCAGAGCTGGGATGGGCTCCCAGAGGAAGGCACAGGGCTGGGAGGCCAAGGGCACGAGTGGGGGGAGACATCAGGACTGTCCCTCACCTGCCTTGCAGCTGCAGCCCGCATACAAGTAGCCATGTCTGCGCAGCAGGAGGCACTGGCCGTAGGGTCCACAGTCGTTCAAGCAGGGCACCAAGTACAAGGTGGTCTCCACGAGGACCCAGGCCTGCTCACACTCCCTGCGAGGAAGGGGCCATAGAAAGGCTTGCTGCTGAGGTCTGCCGGTCAGTCCTCCACCAGTGCTCCCAGCAGGGTCTTGGACACATGAACCCAGAGTTGAGGCCCCCAAGCTCCGAGCCCTGGAGGACAGCAGCCACAAGCTCTGCGAGGCCAAGATGCCCCTCTTCCTCCCGCTGCCCGAGTACCAGCCTGTCTGGGGCTGTGTCCTGGACCAGT